CAGCCGTCGTTAGAAAGTTAGAGGCAACAAAGGAGTGGCGCCGCCTTCCACTGCCCGGGCACCACCAGCGAGTCGCCACTGGTCTAGTTACGCCACTAGATATAACAACAGAAGAAATCAAGTATCATTTCACATAACAGAGATCAGTAGAATGTATTTAATGAAAGCCCAATGCTGTGGTCTTCATTCTTATTTTTATATATAGGTGTTATCTGTATGATAACTTAGTTGATGTTGTCTAATCACAGCTAATATGTTTCATAAGAAATGTTTTTCGTTCTATCAAAGATGAAATGATATTCTACATCCAATACCAATTTCATTTCAATTGAACGGGCTGATAGATTTTAATAATATACAGAGGCACAAAAGTGATGGTTTATCTTGAGACAAAATTTAAAACGATGTAGACAAAGGGCAATAAGATTTTTAATATCAAAAAAGAAAAAGAGCAAAACATTTTGACATTTTGCAATGCTCTCTCAATGACCTCAGAAATTAAAAAAATTTCATTTATGTATGTTTTTTTCGAAATTTTCATACGACAAATTTCATGTTTTTCGTTATTTCAGAAACATCGAAGTCATTCTATTAGTTTCGTCATATTGACATTATTCTCATTACATAATTTTTATTATTTTAGAAAATGAATATCAAAAACATTACTTTTACTACCTTTGCGTCATTTTCGTTCCAAGATTTCGATAAAATATAAATCAGTAAATTAATTTTATTGATTTTACATTCGAAACACTCAATTTCAATCGTTGTTTTTCACATGATTAAAAAGCTGTATCCTTGCTTCGAAGAAAAATCGTTTTCATCAATAACTTTAATGAGAAAAACATCATATGTCTCAATGCTATTTTTTATAAATAAATGATGAAAATAATTATTTTGGATCTTATCTACAAATGTGTCCTTATACATACCATTCGTCTTAACAAACGCAATTTGTTAGAATAGAAAGTATGTCGTGCTCTCATTTGTACAAAGTTTATGAAGTATTGTTTAACACTATTTGTACATTGCTATAGATTATGTAACGGTAGAGTAAAAGAAACTTTTGAAAAGTTCACTGCAGAACCCCTCGAAAGGCAACCAGCCCAGATTTTTAAAAAAGGTCTGGACACAACGTTTCTCTCAGGTAGATGGTTACATTAAATTTTCCTCAATGAATTTAAAAAAAATATCAAAAATAATGCTCGTTTTATCATAAAAAATGTCAGTTTTTCTCATGTCGTTTCATTATTTTTCATGAAAAAGTTTCATTAAAATAATGTAAATTTGCATCATTTTTGCCATTTTCTTATGATCATAATCTGAAAAAAAAAATGTTTACATATTTTGGCAAATAATGTACTATTTAAAATCGATACGAATCACCATTACTCCCTAGATTTACCTATTAGTAGTATTGCATTGAATTTCGATGGTAATAACGATTACTCATCCATCGACGTCAGAGGACAAAACACGAAGACGAGTCGTAACTGAATGAATATATGTACAAATAATTAAAATAGTCCAAGGAGATTGACTCGTTGAAACGATGGATGGTGACGAAAAAAAAAATGCGTATGTGACGAATGTGTGGCTCTTTTTTCTCTTTCACTCCTCATTGATATACCGACGAACGTTGCTGATAAAGACGTCTCTTCGATGAGAGCGCAAATTTACATGATCATGGCCACACTCTTTGCATAAGAAGTTTTCGACATGCTGTCAAAGGAAAAAAAAACTGATCACAGAACTCAATTGAAAAAACACTCGACCATGTCTCTCATGATTGACACAAACATCTAGAAAGAAAATAATATTACTTTCACAAGACACAAATCAATCTAGATTGAATAAAAATATCGATTGAAGTACCTTTTCATCTGTAAATACTATGTTAAGACATTATTTTTTTCTATTCTGTTATCATAGAAAAGTGAAAAAACATATGATTTGAATGGAAAAAAAGACGAATCCAACGATAGATTAGAAAAATACTACTAGACTATTTTCCAAAGAATTCTCGCTTTCTTTCATTGTTACACCATTCATGTGTATATCTTCACTAGCATGCCTTCGGCAGATCATCAAATCTTCAAACATCTTTTTAGTAACATATACAATTGAATGACGACCTTCGACAAGTGGATAAATACCAACAATGAAAAATGATATAAATATCCAAATAATTCCAACGATAACCCAACCAGTAAAAAACGATTTGCTAAAAACATAAGCTGTTCCATACATAGGCCATGGCCAAAGTATGATTAAACATAATGTAAGAACGATTGCTGTAATTCGTGCAATATTCAAATTTCTTGTTAGTAAATTTACTTCATGTTCAATTTCTTCTTCAGTCAAATTTGGAGTAGTTTTCGAGTCTTCAATATCACGTTTTATTTCTTTCATCGAACTGAAATCATACGGTACTTTATCACGAACAATCAACGAAAGAATAGGTACGAATAAAATAGGACTACACAAAGCAACAATATTTCCGACAAGCATAGGAATATTTGATCCGCTTGTTTCAACAGTAATTGAACCATATTTAGCTTTGGTTGTGACTAACCATGCGGTGATTGAACAGGCCAGACCTAATGGTGGCGAAAGACAAGCCGCCCATTTGCTTTGCCGATTCCACAGTAATGTCAAAGCACCAGGAATGACGGCACTTGAAATGATTACACCCATTAATAAATATAAATAGCCCATACTTATATTAATATAATATAGTCCAGTTGACCAACCACTCATGAGAAGACCAAAAGCCACTACCGAAACATGTGAGATATAGATGAGTTTTCTGCCACTAGCGTCTCGATTGAAATAGGTTTTGTAAATATCATAAGTGATAATTGAACTCACAGCAATCAATTGAGCAGACATGGCACTTGTGACAGCCATAAACACCATGATTAATGTAGCCGTTGCTCCAGCTTTTCCAAGTAGAGCTACAGCAGCCGCCGGCAAAGTTAAACCGGCGGT